CTTGGGGATCAGGCGAGCAGCGAACTGCCTTCGCCTTCTCCCCGTACGTCCGCCGCGTCCTCGCACACCCGCTCTGCGGCCTCCTTTTGCGACATAACCTCTGCACAAAAGGAGGCCACCGCCTCCCAGGACTCCTCGCTATACACGCTAACCACGCTCGGCAGCGAGAGGTCCTGCCCTACAGTCCCCGTCAGAGTGCGGCGCTGCTCATCCCATCGGCTACACACCTCTAGGGTGTGCTGTGCAGTGTCATCCGCAGCGCCGCACTTACGTGCTAGCCCTACTGATGATGCCTATTTCAATAAAAATATTTGGCTTTGCAGCGTGTCAATTTCATAAACTTACTGTATAGCATTTTCCTTGGCTGGCACAGGACTTCAAATATTATTAATTAGATATTGTGAATATTTAAGTACCTATCAATATTATTTAGTGGTAAAATAAAACTTCTAACAGATCAGTATGTAGAGTACACCAATAATAATATTTTATTAAAATTATAGGTAATACTGTGTACAAAACGACATAAGACAAAAATAAATAAAAAGTGTTACGATCATTATTGTCGTTTGGATAAAATCTGTATTTTGTTATTTTTCGCTTTCTAGTGTAGTGACTTTCAGTGCTTTTTGAGGTTGATTAAATTTAAAAACAGTTTGTTGAATAATGATATATAATAGGACACGTACCTACATCTTACACAGTTGCGATAAAATTATCAAATAAGGCGGCAGTGAGATGATGTCGCTATTATTCTGATATCCGCTACTATCATTAACAGAACTTTCTATATTAAATGACTTTCATCTCGTAGGCTAAATTTGAAAACTTCTTAACTCCGTTTTTGGACGAAATTCTTTTTTCCTCTTGAAGCGCAATATCGGTCAAGTAAAGCAAAAAATATAATTTTTAGACCGTTTTTTAGTTACAAAATAAAGGTATAATCATAGATTGTTATTTTGTTATTTCTAGTAATTCTGTTTTTGTCCCTACTGAAAATTTCACAGTAATTTAGATTATGAAGTTTGCGAATTTAGTCGACGATATTATGTGTATTCTTTTTTATGATACCAAGTGACAGGACGAAGAAGTGCGCCTAGTGGTAAGCGACACGTCTGTCCATAACTACACTGTTGTTTGCATCGTAGTGAAATAATTTACCAATCGGCGTAAGGCTGAGTGCCTTTTTGTTGCCGAATTGTTGCCCAGAGTCTGCCAGACAATGTGAATATTTATTTATAAAAATATTTATTAGAATTGCTTTGTTACCAAGTACCATTAAATTCGCTAATACAATAATATCTTAATTTAAATACTTTAAGAAGAATGCAATAAATCTAATTTTTTACCAAACACCATTAATTTCGCTAAAATAACAATAATATATTTATTTCAATATTTTATAACTTTACCCTAATAAAAAGTACAATGCAAGCAGCATTATATCGATACGTATGGATATAAAACAAAATAGACTATAAAAAAGGCGTAACAAATTTAAGAGACTCTGCCTCCCATAAACTAGGCAAGTGCGTAAGCTCAGTATGTGCCGAATTTATATGTGTCAGAATATAACCGTAAGGGAAACATTGAGAAAGACACTGTGGTCGCTGATTTAGTCAGGAATTAAATAAGCAACTCACGTGGATTGATAATTGGCCTATTCACTTTTCGTTATCAATTCGTTCAGTCGGCGGTAAAATAAAAATTCAGTTAATTGCAATTCATTCGTTTATACACTTTTCACAGTAATTCATTCGAAAGTACATAGATGGATTAGGTTAAAACGGATTTTAAATGTTACACGGCAAATTCACAGGTAGCGGTCGCGCTCGGTTGTTCACTTTTTAAGTAACTCACACAAATAGCCCATCTTGTCAAAACACGCTCCTTTATAAAGCAGTGACCATCAATTCACTCCGTATTTTCATATGGCAGCCCGACCAACGATCATTAAGTTGTACGATCACGTCAGATGATTGATTAAACTGAACAGATTCAAACGACATCAGCGCCACCTCCTGCCAACCTCTGCAACCACATTCTATGATCGAGACTTGTTATTGCAATTCGTAGATAGCTTAGCAAACCGTTTCTGTAATAATTAGAAAACGATATCTATACATGTTATAATAATATTAGCTAAGATTAAGATAGAAAACTGACTAGGCAATTTTTTGTACAACGAGTACCAGAGCAATGAAACTCACCCATAACACTCAGCTTTAAATTTAAAAAAAAAACAGACGGGACGAATAGTCGTGCGCCTGATGGTAAGTTATACGGCTGTTCATAACAGTTGCAGTGCCACTCAGAGCTTTAAATCGCAAAGATCTGAAGAGCACTGCCACTGCGCCTGTCAATCTGAGACATAAGTTGGAAAGTCCCATGTGCCTCTAATTTCACCAACATCCTTACCTTTCAAAACCGGAACATAGTAATGTTGACATTACTGCTTGGCGGCAGAAATAGTTAAGGTGGCCGTTCTCTTTCACAAGGAGCTCTACTGCTACTAAAAATAATATTATATTTGTTTTAATAAAAAATAAAACTGAAGGTTTTCAAATATAATATTCGGAGAACATGTTTTTCTAATGGATTGGTAGCGGTTGTAAATTGATGGTGTTCAGTATTGAGACATATACGAGTACATGGGTTGATGTTAGTAAATCGGTACTTTTTTGAGAGAACGAACAGATTAATAATTTGACCATAAATATGGAAGTTCGATATTTCATTTTCATAGTATTAACCGCCTCGTATTAGACAAGGTAGACGAAGTGAACGAAATTATTTATAACATATTCCAAACATAAACTTTTTGTTTGTTTTTGTAAATCGCGTATGTTTCTTGTTTCGAGTTCTTGAATCGTGTGTGTGTGTGTGTGTGTGTGTGTG